GATCCATTTTTTTTATTTTATGTGGAGGGGTGCACACCCGGGTGTTGGATCCGAGTGTACACCAATCATGGTCCATATATGAAACAGTCCAAAACAAATGACACACTAATGTGAACCTTGGTACGATGGCTCTCATATGGTCATTATATGAGTGTTTCACTCATATTATCAGAATTTATTTATTTTTTTTAATTTTTAATTTTTTCTTTTTTACTCTCAATTCCCTTAATTAAAAAAAAGAAAAGAGGATGCTTACGAGTGTGTATAAAATATGAATGATACTTATATATAATTTTTTTATATTATATTTATATAAAATTTTAATTATTTATTTTTTAATAATTAAATTTTATTTATATTCATCTTATTTGTTAAAAATAATTATTTTTTATTTAAAAAATCATAATAAATTATAATAATTGAAAGTAAAAAGATAAATAATTAAAATTTTATGAAAGTATAATATGTAAAATATACATATACATATAAAAGTAAATTCCTCTTCATATATATATGTATAACAAAAAAATATTTTATATATTAAATTGTATACTACAAATATAGTCTAACATTAAAATTATTAAAATATTTTTTATAAAATTGTTTTTATATTATTTTATTATTAGTAATTTAATAATTTTAGTATCTCAATTACTCCCTTTTAATATACAATTCCCTCGTAAAATATAAACCTCCTTATGAAATTCCTCAACAAATAAAATTTAAATCGCAGCAGGCCTTATATATGAGTCATTTAATAAATATATCTAATACTTTAATAATAATTAAATTTTGAATTATCGGGTTACCATACAGTAATTCTCCTTTCCCTCCCCAGGTAAAAATTCACAGATTGCCCTTCAATTTTTTGAGTGTGTAAAAATTTACCTATCATTTTACAAGATGTGATTTTATATTCTCATGATATTCGAATTTATGATTTTATACCCTTATGATATTCAAGTTTATGATGTTATACCTCTTAAATAGTAAATTTTTAAATTTGAATGGTTTAAGTTCTTAAATTATTTTTTATACTATTTTCTTTCTTCAAATATAAAAAATGTATTTTTTTATTCTTCCATCAATTTTGTCCATTAAATATGTCCAATGGGCATTTTTTTTAATTTTTTAATGACTTAAATTCCATAAAACAAAATTTTAAAAATTAAAAATATACAACAAACATTAATTTAAGAAATAAAAATGTGCATAAAACAAAAATTTAAGAACTAAAAAGATCCAACTGTACAAATTTAATGAACAAAACGAACAAAAAGAACCAAAAGTATATTTTTGATACTTAAGAAGACCAAAAAGGATAAAAAAAAATAGTTTAAAAACTAAAATTACTCAAACTTAAAGGTTTATATACTAAATTGAGCATTTAACCTAAAAAAATAGGAGTTCAAATTTATTTATTTATGAAAAAGGTGTTGTATAATTAGATTACAACAAATTACATAATATTAATTATTGAATAAAGTTGGATTCTTTGATATTAGAGACTCTTTTTTATGTAATAACTCATGTTTTGTATGTTAGATTGGAAAATAATTGACTCTTTATTCATTTATTTTTTATTTACAAAATAAATTATTTTTTTTACTTTTTTAATCAATATTTATATGTGATTCAAATTTAAAATTTCGTATTTATAATTACTCAATGGAAAGATCAATTCCTGTTTCAATTTCCACGTACACGCTATTTCTTCATTTGGTTAGGTATATATGCATTTTTCCTCTCCCGTGTTATTCCTTAAGAAACTAAAGAGTAATTCCAAAGGGGTCAAAAAATAAAATATACGAAGTTTCCCTGAAACATCTCAGAAGTAACGAGGAAATTTTGGCTGGTTGTTGCAGTTGAGACCAAGTCAATTACTCAGTTACAGAGAAACGAGATTATTATTATTATTTTTTTCAACGAGTACGTACAAATTTGCGGATAGGGATTAATTTGGGACCTAGTACTTAAAGTCAGAGATGCACATTTGCAAAGACTTTTCTAAGCCAAATGTGAGAAAGGAGTATTTAGTAAGATTTGGTTTTCCTATTATTTATTTATTTATTTTGAATTACATAATAAAGGGTAATTTTTTATTATTTCTTAATGCTTTTCATGTTTACATGTACATGAGTTGAATTTAAAAGAATATTGATTGGTTATACTTTTTGTTTTAACACATTATACAATATATTTATTAAAAAATTATTATTTTTTAATATAAAATTAAAAACAGATAAATTTAGAATGTAACTATACATATAATATGTAGAAATTGATTGAATCAAATATATTTATGTTATATTATATTAAAATGGTTGAATCAAGTGAGTGACGAAATGTATATTAAACTGAAAAGTTATTAATCATTTTTTAATTTAAAATCTCTTAACTTTTAACAAGAGAAGATTACAATTAATTTACTTAGATTATTGGTCATATACATTGAATCTACTTAAGTTAGACTACTTTTATCATACAACTATATTATACATATATATATATACACTAAAATGAAAGGTTTGAAATTACAACTTTTTGTGCTATGCTATGAGAAAATTTTTTTAATCACCCTATGCTACGAGTAATTTAATTTTATTTGAGATTTGAAAGTATAACTTTAAAAAAAGAGAAATGATTGGTACACTCTCCAGTTCAACATCTAGTTTAATACTTTTTGGTTTAGTCATTAAAAATATAATATAAATACAGTCAATTCAGTCAATTCATATATCTTATGTGCACGATTGTATTATTATACTTGTCTATTTTTAATTTCAGACTAAAAAATAATAATTTTTTAATGACTAAATCAGAGAATATTGAACCGAGTATTGAGTTGAGCATTGAATCGAAGAGTGTACCAATCAGCACATGCATTGCCTATGTAGAGAAAGGGTTCTTGGGAGGTTTTGTTTTTTTTAGGACAATGATTGGTGAAAAAATTGCAATTTTTGATCTTTTATTGTTGAATTCTCTCTCTTGATTTTGAAGAATATCCAAAAAAGGACTACTACCAGCTTTCACCAAACTCCCTTAATTCTGAATTTGGATAAGCATTTATAGGATTTTAAAAACCCTAATTGAAATAGAAATCCAACCCACACCCATAATAACTAATTAAACACAAATTTGATGAAAATCACGTAAGGGGTCAACACTTTCAACAAGGTGCCAACACTTCTGTTAAGCGCACAATGCCATCACCGTGTCGGGGTTTTGGCCTTCTTAGCAATTTTTGTAATGGTAAAATAACAGTCCTGATCCCTGACTTCTGGATCTGCACAAGTTGATCCTCAAGTTTCTGATCTTTGCAATTTACTCCTAAATTTTATGATTTCTTCCAATGAAGTCCTTTCCTACACAAAAAATAAAAATTATGTAAAATCAAGTAAAATCTCATAAAACTCATCTAAATATCAACAATATTAAGATAAAAATTTCACATTAATATCTATATGAATTCAAATCATCAAGTTTCACCCTAATTGTTTCAAATAATATCATCCCTCTGTATAATGGAGGACAAAAATTCTTCCGAAGCATGCCATCTAGAACTCTAGGTGGGGGTATTCAACGTGTATGACTTAATTATTTTTGGTTTAATCTCAACCGTCCACAATAATACTGGTTTAATTAGTGATTGCGAGCCAGGCGGTTTCATAATTGTTTTTCTACTGTATCTTGATTCATAATTCATTGACTTTAATTTATTAATTTCCTTTTTTGTAGGAGACATGATCTAAATGTCAGCATCTTAAATGTGATACATGTTAATTTTAGTTGTCTTCTGACATTTCCCTTCTTGAATTTCAATGATCTGGAGATGGATGAAAGGGATGAACATGTGCTCGTTGGAAGAGGACATAGACGTGTTAGATAGGATTGTCTTATCGTTGAACGTGCATGGATCACGAGGACGGAAACGACATCGTTTGGACCTCCATGAATGGCAACAAGAGTTATTGCAAAGAGTGGGATAATCTTTTGTTTTAGAAATTTCCTATATATATATATATATATCGTGCATGGATCACGAGGACGGAAACGACATCGTTTGGACCTCCATGAATGGCAACAAGAGTTATTGCAAAGAGTGGGATAATCTTTTGTTTTAGAAATTTCCTATATATATATATATATATTAATTATCTGAAACGACATTGTTTTTGATCTCCATAGAAGCCAACAAGAGTGATTGCAAAGAATGGGATATAGAATCTTTTGTTTCAGAAATTTCATTTGTTTTATATTAATTAATTATCTGAATTAAAATGATAATTAAGAATTGAACAATTTTGCATGAGTTGTACGTGTATTTGTGTACTACAAACTAGAAACCCAATGTGTTACGCATAACGTAAACGTGCATGCCTGTCTTCTAATATCAACTTCTTCTTGCTTTTGAAGTTTAAGTTTGTGTTTTTCTCGATGTGATCAAATCGCGTAAACCTAGATGCAAATGTGATTTTTGTTTTATGAGTTTCATCGTAAAGTCGTATCAAACCAACAAAGAGCTCATTCGATTGTTGGCACACGTATGCAAACATGGATTAGCCTGAAGGAAAAAGGTTATCAATCTACTCACTTAAAAATTAGAAAAACATTCTAAAATTATATCGTTATTTTAATAAAATTTCATTAACAAATTCAATAAAACATACTTTTAAAGTAAAAATAAATTGTTTTAATATGTTTAATACTTTATTAAAATATTATTTTTTAATATTTCACATGTAATAATAATTTTTTTCATAATAATTTATTAAAATAACATACGTAATATTTTACGTAATAGCATTATCTCAGCCTCGTATGAT